GAGATGTCACTCATAAAATACAAGTTAGATGTTTATGGAGAAGGGCATTAGAGGTTTTTTACAATCGGAATATACCAAATAAGTTGAAAGAGAAGTTTTATCGAATTATTATAAAACTTGTAATGCTACATACCATGCATTTTAGGTCAATAACATGATGCATTTTGGACAAACTATTTTTACGAATATGCCAATGGTGAGACAATCAGAGAACATCCAAAAGATAGCAAGTGTTAGTTCTTACACACATCATGATCCTCAAACACATTGCCATTTGGTAAGATACATTTAATTTGTAAAGAAAAATGGCATACAAGAATCAAATTACTACTCCCTTCATTTAAAAATGTAAGGCATTTTTAACTGAATCTCATTCCCAATAAAGTAATTACCTACTTTTAAACTAACCTTATCTTTTCATATTTATTCCTATTAAATATCTTATAATAAATATAAAGTCACTATTAATATGAGCACTTAAAAAAAAAGAGCAATAATTACACCTCGAAATACTAAAAATATTTTATATTTTTTAATATTTAATTCCTTAAAAAATATCTTATATTTTTGAATGGAGGGAGTACTAAATAAGTAAAAACAATATTTAACTTCGTATAACATCTATAGGTAGTTGCACTTTTCATATATCATAAACAACGCAACAAACTTAAAACTAAAACACGACCCTAAGTCCAGTTGAACGCAAGATAGAATAGCCACGGACTTGTAAAATTCACCATTATATTTATTTCGAAGGAATTATGTGGGAGCTTCCCCTACTAGTTGTAACATTCCCCACTACTAAAAAAATTATCTTTCATATCAAATTATGCTTTACTCCCAGACTTCGACTGACCTTGTTGGATTTTTTTAAAAAAAGTTATATTTCATCATATTTTATTATATATTTAGTTATTTTTTATAAAAAAAATTTTATCATTATAATTATTGGCTTAATTTTTTTTTCACATATTAACAATATGATAGGATGAGAGTGAATGTTTAGAAAATTATGCAATTTAAATTGAGGTGTAAAATTATTTTCTACAAAAAAAATTTAAAAAATTTTAAACTAATATATAAGGATATAATAGTAAATTAGTTATTACCTCCCCTCTCCTCCCTTCCTACACCAAACAAAGGATTATTAAAAATCCCTCCCCTCTCCTCTCCTTTCCTCCAACAAAATCAAACAAGGTAACATTAAAACCTTCCCCCCCTCGAACTAAACACACCCTTAGGTTTCCTTCCATTCTTTCTTTGGTTCTTCCATTGCATGTGTGTTTTAATGGCTGGATCATTCTCTTCTCCACTTGATAGAAAGCATCAAGTAGGAAGCATGCATGTGATTTTTCTTCAAGGTGTTGTTCTGTCTGAAGCTTCTATTAAGTTTCTGGACATGAATGAAGTCCTAAAAAGCTTCAGAAATGTTGTTTAATGTTGATTTATATGTGTATTAAATGCTGGAAGTGTTTGAAAACAAGTTATAGTTTTAAACCCAAAGGATAATATGTGAGATACAAGCACAAGTTTGACACTGTCCAGTTTAGAGTCTGGTTGGTTGCGTGATACTTTCCAGATTGTGTAATTCTTTTCTGGCTACGAAATTTGGATATGTTTTAGTAGACATGATAAGCTTTAAAATGAGTCCTATTTAGTGTTAAACAAAAAAGTATAGAAAAATTTATGATCTATCTAAGTTAAGGCCAGAAATCTGGAAGTTACTGGAAGTAAGTTTAGCTAAAGTGAATTTTGCTTGTGATTCTGGAATTATGAGTTTACAGAATGACACACATGATATATTTATATTAAAATTGGGTTTAATATGGATATGGACACCAAAATCATCCTCTTACGATTAGTATTGAATGAGTTATGAATTTTTAAAGTAAGGGTGTGAAAACGGAAAATAGCTATGTTTTAATTTGGAACAGTGAGAATCTCAAGCCTATAAGTGGTTTCTGTAGCAAAGGGGGCTTTTATAAATGATTTTTCATTTACAGAGGACGTCCCAAGATTTATTTAGAGGCTAATATCACGCCCAATTGATTTTTTTAGAATTAGTTATGGTTTTTCAAATTTAATACAAAATTCTGGAAAATTTATGTATGGGGCAGAAACTTGAGAATTACCTAAGTTACTAGATATATGTTCTATATTTGGGCCTAGACTATGGGTGTTATAAGGCACTTGCTACCACCTAAAGCTAGTCTTGATAGGCCAAAGAAGTCAAGATATAGTTAATTTTTCTTTATGGCCAATAACCCAAGGACTCTGAGCCATGAAGGTTCTACAATAAAATTAAGTTATTTAATCTTATTCCTAGGGAAGTTGTGCAAGTATGCTCACCAAGTATAAGAGATTAGTATATGATATGTGCTAGCATTGACTTGAGGTTAAAGTTTATCTTTTCATGGCTTAGAAATTTATGTAATGCATGCAAATTATTGTATGTGAGAACTCTAAGAGGCCTAAGGAACAAACACTTGGCTAAGAGCATGAGGGCAAGTTTATGATTTTTCAAGCTTTGTCTATGTTAAAGAATGTATATATATTGCTTATGTATTAATGAATGATACCCAATCCAATCACCTAGAGCATTACAAGCTTGAAAGGCATGCAAGAGAATTTTAACGAAATTAGGGGTTGAGAGAGAAGTCTTTCTTAAAGACATGTGATTCCAAATCAAATGCTATTTAGAGTTAAAGTTGTAATGTCATGTTTATCTTATAATATAGTCAAACATCCATATACCAGTGTAGATCACTTAATTTAGTCCCTATGTTAAGTTAAACTAGGAGTAGACTAGGGTGCCTTCTTTAATTATTAAAGAATTTTTATGTTAACGTGAACCCTAATATTAAATTCCTATTATAGGATTTAATACTTGTGAACGTACCCTAAGGTTAGAGGCTTAAGAGGAAGTAGCTGAGACAAGTAGTAAACTATTACGAAACTCTTGTATTTATTACATGAGTATGTTATAAGATGATATACTTGCCATGTATGATTTATGAATGTTAAATTCATAAATGTTTATGATGATGATGATGTTATGCTGGATTTCTTGGCCAATATGATTTTCCATGCTATGATTATGATGTTTATCTACATGGCTTTGAATGTCTACAAAAAGTATACCATGCTTTAAGTACTTGAGTTAAATAATTTTGCTACTGAGATTTCCCCAAATCTCATCCCTTCTGACTAAACTTTCAGGCACCACTAGGACTAATAAAGGAAATGCTGAGGTATAAGTCAGGTGGCTTACAAGTAGATAGAAGTTTACTGCTAGCTAAGTTTGTACATATTAGGAGGACAGTTAGTCCACCTATCCTTTAGACACTAAGTTGCCATATAAGTTATGGCATAAAGATGTTATGATTTTTAGTGATATCCGTATCGTGTACATAAGTACATCATAATGTTATAAGTGGTTAAAGGTGTATGGCGAGAAAAAGAGAGCAAGAGGCTGCACTAAATTAAGAAAGAAAGATATAAAAAAATAAGGATGGAAATCTCATTAAGGCTCAAAAGACATGGTTAAGTGTAAAAAAAGAGTTCTTTTTGAAAAAAATTGTCCTGAATTAGACAGTGATTGATTCTCCTGGTCTATCTTCCCTGTATATGCCATACTACAAAAGAGATAAAGATAAGTTTAATTAATCAATAAACAAAAAAGGGTATGGTTTTAAAAAGCAGTTAACAAAGAAGTTTATTTTAAAAGTTCCACTACATATGCTTTATAAGTGCTCTTTTATTAACCTCTTACTATTTAATGGCATACTTAGAGTATATAAAGGAAAGATGTGTCACTAGTAAGGTTCCTTGGAAAATTCTGTTCTCGTATGTTTGCTGGGATCTTCAGACGGCTGGCTGTAAATTTCTGCTGGAGAAAGAGGTTAATGATTTTCACTTTAATGTGGAAACTAGCCTATTTAAAGCCATCCAAGATAGAAAGTTTCTTAATTGTATGTGTAACCGGAGCAAAGAGAGGAGAGACAATGTTCAGAATCAACAAGAAAACAAGTCTTTGAAGTTGGAAATAGCATGAGGTTGCTTGAAGGAAGGGAATTATATATGGTCTGCTGCAATCTGGAACAAAGATAATCCATGGATTGCTGGTTTTTATAGGAAAGTGTCTCTGAATACATTTTTTATTAACAAGTCACTCAATAACAATTACTTAATATGTCACATCATTAATTCTATTTCATTAACCTTATTTATCAACTGTATAGTTCCCTCATGCAAGCAAGACGCTGACTTATGAAAGATTGGATTGCATCTGTGAGTTTTTCTTTTGGTAACATTAGCCACTGTTAGGAATTTTTTCAGAAATGACGGCACTCCTTCTGAGTCTTTGGACACCTTTCAACATCTACCAATTGGCAATTAGGGAGAGGTGAATGTTAAAAGGTTTCTGCCTTTTTTAAATTTTGATGTAGATCTCGTGTGTATTGATTTATTTTTGACGTAATATGATAGCTCATTTTTCATTTAAAAAAAAAGGAATCATGCGTTATGGGACATTCGAGAAAACTAAAATTTAATAAAGCTTGGGAAACGGAGATCAACAAGGAATACAAGCAACATTAAAAGGATCTTTTAACATCATATCAACTAAGCACTTTCACTAGTAGTTACGGGACTATAGAAAGCATGCTTGTTGCCCATTTTTTGTAGTATTGAAATCTTAAATATAATAAAATATTAACAAAATTCACTGTTTGTGGGACAGTGAAATTAACAGCACCATGAACCCACCAATTCCCTTTTTTTTTATGCTTATTTTTTTATTTTGTTAAAAAGTCAAAACATATTGAAACATTATTTTTATATTATATTTTTAAGATATCATATAATCATATTTTATATTTATATAATTTTCAAATTATCTTTTCATTCTTCACAAGTATTTTTTTTTTTAATTAGAAGTAATGGTAGAATGCTAAATGTGGGCACCTTCCCAATAGGCATTTAAACCTTACTTTGCCACGTTATCAAGAGATTAACCCCTCAACATGAAATATATAAAATACATATTCACATGAACTTAAAGTCGAGAAACATAAAAAACAAGTGAATTGTCGTGCATCACGACGGGCCATTTTCTAGTTAGGATGCTAAAATAAAAGCCAAAAACTAACAATAACTTCGAACTATAGGTCAGCACTGTTCATTTTCCTCACTTTGCTGGATTCTTTTTTTGCTGTGGAGCTGCAACAGAAGTGGGTGAAAAGGGATCATAAATCTGGTCAGAAGGACATAACGGCTTACCAGAAGCCACCAGTTGACCGCTGCCAAACTTCTGATTTGGAGGCAAGGGGATTTCCGGCCATCTCTGAGCAGGATGATTCTGTCGAATCTGCATGGTTCCTGCCCTTAGAGGTCCAGGACTGGGAAAATTTGACATTTGGGGGAATGGAAAAAAATTCCTCATGCCCATTTGTGGCACTGCAGACCTAGGATCAGGCTGACTGGCTAATGGTAATGCAGCGTGTCTGGATGGTATTGGGATGGCACCAGGTCCACCTCCAAAGGGAGCAGCATATGGAACACTTTTAGTTTGATCCACCTGGTTGTGGATTTGTGGTCTCGGAAAGATTTGATTGACAGGTTGATCAGGAACAGGGAGCCCGAAAGATGGTAGCCGAGGATCAAAAGATTGCTCTCTTACACCACTTGGGGTAGCAGCGTTGTGTCTGGAAACCACTTGAAAGTTTGCATTGGGCTGCTGTGGTCGGAAAGTAAAATTTCCAGAATTTTGAGCAGACAAAGATGGTGGATTTCCACCGTTATGATAAGTGGCTCCAGATGCAAAGTTAGGGATACCAGACTGCTGAGATAACGGAAGTGAATTTGGTAGTTTAGGTGAAGGAAATGAACTAGATCCTGATAAATGATTTATAGATGAATAAGTTGGTCTTTGTGGCTGCATAGGCCCCAAAGAAGAGGGCAATCTAGGGAGAGTACTTGCATGATGGGGTGGAAAAGTGGCAGAATGTGATGCATTGGACGCTGGTGGCTTAAATGCAACATCAGGTTGTCCGTGCAGAGAGACAGGTCTATGAGGAGGAGGAACCATTGATGGAGCAAGTTGCTCCATATTGCCAGGACCAGGAGACGCTCCACCTGGTCCTGAAGAGGCACCAAAAGATGTCAATGACTTGTCAGGTACTGATGCAGACAAAATACCAGACATAGATTGAGGCATCAAAGGCACTGATGTCTGATGTCCTGAAACTGAAATATTTGTTGGAATATTTGCTGGAAATGAAACTGAAATATTTGTTAGAATCGATGAAGTCTGCATAGATAACATAGAAGGATTTCCTGGTAGTCCAGTGAGTCCCACAGGACTTGTCTGTGTTATATGTGAATACTGGAAATGTTCTCTTGTTAGTTGTGATTGCACAGCAGGTCGATTTGGAATAACTGAGTCGAATCCAGTGACAGATGCATGCTGAGCGGTAAAAGTTGAGGTGACATTTGACGAATTCATTGATTGTGATGGAAAACGGAGAGGTCTAGAGAGGCCCCTAGGATTTGAAGGAGCTGTATTGCCAGAAGCAAATACTGGGTTTTGAGATGACATGGCTGAAAACCATTGACCGGAGTGTTGAAAATGATCTCCAACCATTTGTGCAACTCCAGCTATTGGGTATGTCATGGCCTGGTTTTCCATTGATACTGAAACGGGGAGAGAAGGGCGATGGTTCACATTTTCACTAGGAATATTAGTGTTGTCCGCAGAAACTGACATTGCAGTTGTGGAAGCAGAAGTCAAATTCCCCTGCACAATTGACAACAACTGTTATTCCAAGTTACAACAATCAAAAAATAACATAACCATGTTGAAAAGGTAAAAATACATGTTAAACCAAAGCTATGACAACCATAAAGCAGAAAGCTTATCATGTAAAATTGTGTAACTTACAGTAACGGAGGTGATTAGCAGTTCAATGATGGACACTGCCGCATCCACTTTTTCCAAACAATCAGCTGATACCAACACATTCATTTCTTCGTAAGTTTTGCAATCACTTCCTGGTCTAATCTCAACCTGAAATTGAAACAATTAAATGACTGGAAAAGTGGGAGCACATGCAAATTTAATAGTTATTTCTTGTCAAGTTAAATTACAAATGACATCAAAATAGTTGACGTCATATGGGCTTTATGGGCCGAAGCCCTATTGCTTTCATGACTTATGTTTCTAGGGTTTAATACGTTAGAATAACCTAGAACCTAAGTGGCAACACATGTAGGGTAAATCAGTTTATGATTTTAGAAGATTTGATTAGATTTAGCAGTTCTCTTTCTGATATTGTAATCTTATATAAAAGGCCCTTATACGCCTGTACATATTGATAAATGAAAGCATGTAATTCTGGCATCAAATTATTCATGGGATCAGAGCAGAAATGATCCGATTTGGATTCCGTCTCAACACTGTAGCCTAGGATGGATATGGTTCATCAAAGAACACAAACCCTATTTCTTCGATGATGACAGCCATGAAACATCAAGCACCAAACGATGCCAACTCCTCAACCATCACCATTCATTGATTGAATGGTCAAAACTACATTGAATGGGTAGCTGGGGTACGTCTCTACATTACAGGTAAAAGGAAGTTCAAGCATCTGAATGGGAGCAAAGCCAAGACTAGCCAAAAATGACACCAGGTTCTCTGAATGGGAAGCTGATGACTTGATTGTGCAGTCTTGGCTCTTGAATTCAGTGACACCAGACACTAGTGCAAGTTTTGCACCATTTCATTTTGCTCAAGAAGTCTGAGAGGCAGCAAGGGACGTGTTTGCTTTGCTGAAAAACCAAGCCGCCACTCTGGAGATTGAGGGTGCACTACAAGATATGAAAAAAAGTACACAAAATGTTACTTAGTATTATACTAACCTAGTTGTTCTTTGGCGATAGCTGGATGTGAAACCCATGAGTGGTTTTGCAATCAAGATGCCACCCACTACTAAAAAATCAAAGAAGAAAAGTGTATCTACAAGTTTCTGTTGGGACTTGACGGAATCTTTGATGGAGTTCGAGGGAGAATTATGAGTCTTGATGTGTTACCCAATTCACTGTGAAACATGAAGAAAGTAGGAAGAAACTGACCTCAAGCATACCCTTGGTAACGGATGATCTTGCTGCTAGTGCCCTTGTGTCCAAGGGTCCTCAAAACAGTGATAACCGAGCGACAAAAAGCAACAAATGGTGTGATCACTATAAAAAAAAGGGGGCCACACAAATGATGAATTTTGGAAAATTCATGGTAAGCCTCCTAACTTCAAAGGAAAAGGCAAAAATCACAATAGTAGGGGATTTGCTACAACCCCAAATAACAAATAAGAATCTGATGACAAATTCAACAAGGAGAACGTTGATTTTCTCCGGAAATTGCTTGACAAGTACAGCACGAATGGCCAATTGGTTGCTTCCAGTAACGTGGCTTTCAAAGGTAATGCAATCTATACACTAAAAACTCCTGTCCATCATAAAAGAATGTGAGTGGTTGATTCTAGAGCTACTGATCATGTGAGGGGTAAGAAGTCTCTTGAAAAACGTAAAACTATGTCCTCACCCCATGTTTATAGGCGGTGCAGATGGAAAATTTATTAAGGTTCTAAGAATTAGTGAAGCATGTGTATTTGGAGGTCTTAGTACTTAAAAATGTGTTATGTGATCCTGATTAAAAATGTAGTCTCCTATCAGTTCCCAAAGCTACTAAGGATCAACAGTGCCATATTGACTTCCCTGCCACTAATAGTTTATTTCAAGGCTTTGGAGTCAAGGAAGGTGATTGGCATTGTTGAGTTGTTAAGAGGGACTTTACTGTTTGGAGGTTCAACCAGACGGACAAAATTTTCCATGCACCTCCCGCTTTGTAGCAACAAAGAAATCTCCAGTTGAGTTTATTAATAAAGATGTCATGTTATAGCACCATAGGTTAGGCCATTCAAATTTTAAATATATGTCTAGATTGTTTCCCAATTCTAATAAGAATTTTCCTTTCTCTCGGGACATTTGTCAAATTTTGAAGCACACGAAAAATTCTTACATCTCCCATCCTCATCAGTTTTCTCAACCCTTTTCCTTGTGGAATTTGAGAGAAAATAATATTTCTCATTGATTTGAATGCTGAGTATGAGCTGACTATATAAACATAAGGAGGAAATAATTACTAATAATGTCTAATAAAACCTAACAAAAATTATACAATATTAAAAAAAAAATACCAAATGTTCCCCACACTCCCCCTCAAGTTGGATGATAGATGCTAATCATGTCCAATTTGCTTATACAATTCTCAAATGCAGGGCCAAGTAACCCTTTAGTCAAAACATCAGCTGATTGCAACTTTGTAGGCAAATATGTCAAACATATAATTCCTTATTCCACCTTTTTTCTTATGAAATGTCAGTCTATCTTTATATGTTTCAACCTGTCATGTTATACTGGATTTAAAGCCATGCTTATGGCAGCTTTATTATCACAATAGAGCTTTCAATGGTGAAGTTGCTTTAACTTGTATTTCATTCAAGACTCGTACCAGCCAGAACTCCTGTGTTATTCCTTTAGCTAAAGCTCTCAACTTAGATTCAGCACTACATCTTGAAACAACTCTTAGCTTCTAGCTTCTCCATGTGACTAGATTACCCCACACAAATGAGCAATAGCAAGAGGTTGACCTTTGATCTGTACAAGTTCCACCCCAATTTGCAATAGTGTAAACTTCTACAGATCTTTGCTCATGTTTTCTAAAGAACAGCCATTTATTAAGAGCACCTTTTAGATATCTCAAAATCCTATAGACTACTTCCATATGACTCTTCATTGGGCAGCTCATATATTGACTAGCTACACTAACGGGGAATGCTATATTTGGCCTTGTATGGAAAAGATATATTAGTTTTCCAACAAGTTTCTAATATCTCTCCTTGTTAGTAGCTTTTTCCTTTTCTTCTTCATACTCCTCATCTGAGTTTTCTTCCTCCTCAAATTCTTTATCTTTTCCATTCTTGTCCTTAGGTTTCTTTTTCAATTTCTTTACCTCAATAAGAGTTTCAATAGATCTACAACCCCACATACCTATCTCAGTAAGAAGATCAAGTATATATTTTCTCTAAAAAACCTAGATTCCTCTCCTTGACCTGACAACTTCCATCTCAAGAAAGTATTTTAGCTTCCCGAGATCTTTGACTTCAATTTCCTTGCCAAGGGCAGCCTTTACTCCTTCTATCTCCTCAAGGTGACCTCCGGTGAGTATTATGTCATCAACATAGACAATAAGGATATATTTCTTGCTTCCCTCAAACTTAACAAACATTGTATAATCCGATAGGGCTTGCTTGCAACTTTCAGACTTTAAGACTCTTGAGAACCTGTCAAACCAAGCTCTTGGTGACTGTTTCAAGCCATATATAGATTTTTCAATTTACAAACTTAATTTGCCCTGTCTTTATCAAACCCAGGAGGTAGAGTCATGTAGACTTTGTCCTACAACTCTCCATTTAGAAAAGCATTTTTTATGTCACGTTGGTGAAAAGGCCACTCAAGATTAGCTGCTACAGACAATAAGACTCTAATAGTGTTCAATTTTGCCATCGAAGCAAAACTTTCTTCATAGTCCAAGCCATATGTTTAGATACACCCACTTGCAACCAAGCATGCTTTGAACTTGTCAAGGGCTTCATCTGCCTTGTTTTTTGGGGCGAACACCCACTTACAACTCACGGTTTTCTTTCCTTTTGGTAGTTGAACAAGTTTCCCTGTCTCATTCTGATAGACTCTGTTTTGCTGGAAAAACCTATAAGAGGAGGTTCAGAAAAATACAAGAAAAGGGAAAGCATCTTTCTAAGGGGTAGAACGTTGACCTTGCTCTCCTTACTCTTAAGGAGGAAGCTAGTCAAACCTAGTATTGATTCATGGTGGTTTTAGGTTGCTTTAGCAGAACTTGGTGTGGGAGACTGTGCACTTTGCTTTTAGGTTATAATAGCCGTTAGTTTCACTTGGGGAGTTAGTCATTACTGTTGGGTTTTGTTCAAGGGAGAGACTGGCTCTCAAAAACCAGAGGGCATGCTTAGATAGCATTGGATGTGTTTGGGTTCCATAGTGGTTGTTGTGAGTTCCGGCTGTAACTTGAGAATAGGGTTTGTCTGAATCAATGAAGTGTCTTTTGTAACATTGATTCAGCCTTTTGGAATTATTATTATCGAACCCCAGTATTTCTCCTGATTTATTGGTCATTAATCTCTATTATTACTGCATATTTATCTGTTCTGCAGTAGAGTCCCATCACATTCTTTTCTAAATCCCTCATTTTCTCCATGACAACACTTTGCCATTCAAGGACGCTTAGAACTTCTTGCATAGTCTCAGGTACCTTCAATTTATCAAGATTAGTAACAAAAGCCTGATATTGAGGAGAGAATGCGTTGTATGAAACAAATCTCTCTATCAAATGGAAAGTACATGAGTGAGGTTGCTTCCGCAAAGCAATAGGAAGATCAAGATCAATAGATTCACTTACTTGTTTTGTACCATCAAGCGTTGGGGTTTCAAGAGTTACCCTAAATTCTAAGTCACCATGAGTTTCTCCTTCAGGAGCTACCTCTAGTGTCGACTCTCTTGATGCTTCAGGTACAAGTTGCTCACTATCTTTTCATTTCTTTTTTCCATTGTAAACTAAAAATTCTCCCTTTTGTGGTCTTTCTACATCTCCTCCTGTTTTCCTGTGTTCCTCAAATTGTGGCATAAGAGGAGATGGTGCTAGAAGGGATGTTGGAAGGGTAGATGAAGGTCATACTCAGGTTTAGCTGGTACAAACCATGGCTTAAGAAGCATTAGTTCTCTGTTAGATTCTTGTTCCCAAGTCTAAAATTGACCTATGCTCTACCCCTGAATTGAAGAATTGAGATGGAATGGAGTAGCTTTATGAAAGGTGACATCAAGGCTAACAAATTTGTGTTTTGTGACAAGATCAAAGCATTTATATCCTTTTTGGGTAAGAGAATAGCCAAGGAATATGCATTTGATGGCTTGAGGTTCAAGTTAGGTGCTTTGGTGGTTATGGACAAAGGTTGTACAATTACATGAAGTGGAAGATTGCTTTCAATATGGGATGTGAAAAAAATACTTTGCAATTTATGGAGAGGAGTTTCAAAGGATAAAATTTGACTGGACATATGATTGATGAGGCAAGTTGCGATCAAAATAGCATCCCCCCAATAAAATTTTGGCACATTATAGGTAAACATGAGTGCTCTAGCAACATCAAGCATATGATGATGTTTCCTTTCCACAACCCCATTCTGTTAAGAGTGTATGGGCACAAGAACTAATACAGACAATACCGTGCATGTGGAGAAAAGTACTCAAAAATTGGTTAAAGTATTTGGTGCCATTATCGGTGTACAAGACTTGGATGGTGGTATTAAACTAGGTTTTGATCATATTGAAGAAAGTCATCAACATGGATGCAGTCTCAGCCTTGTTTCGTAAAAAAAAAACCCAACTAAGACGAGTGTGGTCATTAATGAAGGAAATGAACCATGTGGCTTTAGTACAATTAGGTGTACAGGATGGTCCCCACAAGTCACTATGAATGGTTATGAAAGATTTGGTGGGCATGTATTTGGTTCTAGGAAAGGATGTTTTGTGGTGTTTGGCCAATACATACACCTCACACTGAAAGTCATTTATATTTAGGTTTGGACATAGAGTTAGGAACAAACGTTGAAGGCAATGAAAATTGGGATAACTCATCCTTTTATGCCATAATAGAAAATCATTAACTTTAGAGATAGATGCAAAGTTACCAACAATCGGAGAGTTACCCACTCTGGTGATGGCTTCGAAGTAGAAGTACTCCTCATACTCCTTAGCACTTCTTATTGTCATTCTAGATGATAGATCCTGAAACACACAATGGGATAGAAGGAATTTAGCATAACAATTTGACTGGGTAGTCAATTGAGTGATTGAAAGAAAGTTGCAATCAAGTTTAGGTACATGAAGAACAGATGCCAACACTATAAAATTAGAAATCCGAATACTCCCCTTTCCCGCTAGAGGTGCTACGGAGCCATCTACAAATTTGACTTCAACATTTTCAACACATGGAGTGTAAGTTGTAAACAACTCATGAGAACAAGTCATATCGTCAGAGGCTCCCAAATCAACAATCAAACTATGGCATTGCGAGATGTCTTTTAAGGCCTAAAGAAACATTCTCTTTTGGCAATTGTTGCTTTAGGCCCATATTTTGCCACTAAAACTAGGGTCTCATCTCTGGTCACCTTAATATTTAGAAGTCCAAATAACCACTCCTAAGGCTTTCCATGAGACAAAATCCATATAGCATAGAAGAATCAATAGCCACATCCCAAGAGCACTCCAAACTTCCTCAAACGAACCCTCAAACACACCGTAGGGATAAATGAATGTCGAGCAAGGAGTACCTAGTCGTGAACGAGGCCTAGATCTTGCCAGAAAAGGGTCTACATTGACGGAAAGGGGAGTCGTAGCCAAAATAAAGGTTGCATGTGCTCCTACGCGCCACTAGGCAAGCACTAATGTTGAACCTTCAGGTGGCACGTGTGGCCTACACGCGCCAACAATCATCATGTCCTCTGGGGGTTGCACCAATCGAAGCTATCCGAACACACCTAGGGGGCGATGATAGCCATAACGGTCTCAAACAGCACCTACACTACAGCCATAGGATGCTTTACAGAATACCTTACATGATACATAAGCAAAAAAACCCTAATGATGATTTCGAATCATTTGCTCTCATACCCTCACATTTAAACAACCTAACAATCTCCTCCCAAATACCAAGTCCCTATTTTTTCAAGCCAACCCAATTTTTGGGCTTCAAACAGTGTGGCGCAGACAGGTCCCTATTACAGCTAGGGCCAATCCCATTTTTGAACTTCGAACGAGTATGCAATAATGGGCTTACAGGTCTCTAATGAACCCAGACTCTATACCATGTGCATTTGAGAGAAAACAATGTTTCTCATTGATTTGAATACTAAGTACAAGCTCACTATATATACACAAAGAGGAAATATTTATTAATAATGTCTAATAAAACCTAATAAAGACTATACCAAATATTCTCACAATAGTGATATTTGGGGGCCAGCCCATATCGCATCTTTATCCCATGCAAACTGGTTTGTTACATTCATTGACTATCACATATCGTATCTTATGCAAGACAAGTCTAATTTGTTTAAAATTTTCACAAATTTTCACACCATGATCCAAAATCAGTTTCAACAACCATTAAAGTGCTCAGGAGTGATAATGGAAGGGAGTACACAAGTTCTACCCCACAATCCTCCTCAAATAGGGTATCATCTGCCAAACAAGTTGTGTAAATACATCCTAACAAAATAGGATAGCTGAAAGAAAAAAAATAGACACCTCTTAGACATTGCCCATGCCATAATGTTCACTTACAATGTACCAAAATACTAATAGGGGAGGCCATTTTGACAGCAACTTCCTTAATCAATAGACTACCACCCTAAACTATCAACTTTTAGACCCTACTTTAGATTCTTTCCCAAACTATCCTACCTCACATATGATAACATACCCAAGAGAAGTTTTGATTGTATTGCCTATGTCCACAATGATCATGGAGGGAAACTTGATCCTAAAGCCTTTAAATGCATCTTCCAAGGACACTCCTTCACTCAGAAGGGTTACAAGTGCTATTCTCCTACCCTCAAGAAATTCTCTATCACCATGAATGTTACCTTTGATGATATTATTCTAACCGGTGATGATGCAGCCTTTAGAAACTAAATTTGAGATGAGGGATTTAGGAAGCCGCTTCCTTGTAATGGAAGTGACTAGATCCAATCCAAGAAGGGAATAATGGTATCACAACATAAATACACCCTTGACTTATTTAAAGGAATAGATATTTTGGGCACCAAACCAGCAGCAACTCCTCTGGAACATTCATGCGAGCTAGTTGATAAGGAGGAAGAGGAAAGAGAAGATGGAAAGGAGACAGAATCTAAAGAAAGAACAAAGGGAAAAACCAAAACAAGTTCCCATTGATGCAAAAAGATCTAAAAGACTAGTGGGTAAACTTCTTTATTTATCCCACACACGCCCGAACATAAGCCATGCTGTAAGGGTGGTCAACAAATTTACAAATGAACCACTTGAGGTGCATATGGAGGCGGTTTATAGTATTTTGCACTACTTAAAAATGACACCAAGTAGAGGACTCTACTCTATAAAGGAAAGTTCAAGAAGGGTCAAAGTATTTATAAATATTGATCATGTAGGATTCCTACCAAATAGAAGATCTACCTCTAGATATTGCACTCTTGTTTAGGGAAATCTAGTAACCTAGAGGAGCAAAAAGCAAACAATTGTATCTAGAAACAGTCCACAAGTAGAACTTAGAGCTATTGTTGTTAGAGAGAAGATGATAGAAAAAGCTAATTCATTTCACAGAATTGGTGAAAGAGCAGGATGCAAAATATATCCTAACCTAAACACATGCCTCAATAAGTAAGGGTCATAGTATGTTAACAACTACCCTAGAACTCAGCAACACATAAAAAAACAACAACAACATGATGACATAAAAGACAATAAAGCCCTTAAAATAATAATGTGTAACAATACTCCCCCCTGAGGCAACCAAAAAACATTCGTATCCATAAGGATAGCTATAGAAGTTGGAACGTTAGTATGGAATTGAGTAACAGGAAAACTATGATGCTTCATAATTTTCCTTCCCAATATTTCTTCTGATTCCAACAAAAATTGACCCTGATCGTCCACTGGAAGTAAGGCGGCATTAGTGGGAGCAATTAGATTGACATACCTCTTCAACAAGGAAACATGGAAAACTAGATGCACCCTAGCGTCAAGAAGGAGATCCAACTCATATGCAACTATCCCTATACGCTTCACAACCTTGAAGGGACCAAAGTAGCAAGCAACTACCTTATGTAAGGAAGAATTGTTCAAGATATTATTCTTGAAGGGGTGCATCTTCAAGAAAACCATGTCATCTTCAACAAATTGGCATTTAGATCTGTGCTTATTAACTAGTTGAATCATTTGGTGTTGAGCCTTTAATAGGTGTTGTTTCAAAATCTACACATTGAGCTCATGAGAAAGCAAGTCTGGTCAACTACTTCATTAGGTGAGTCACCCACAATATAAGGTAGATGAGTAGGGAGAGAAACTCCATACATAGCTTCAAAGGGAGGCAGCCTAATTGAAGAGTGACAAGTGGTGTCATACCACAACTTAGCTAGCGGAAGCCATTTTAACCCATTGCTTTAGGAAGTCACCAGTCATGCGACAAAAATAGCAATTCAAGCATCGATTGAGTACCTCAGTCTAGTTGTCGATTTGGGGATGATAGGCTGAAGAGAACTGCAATTGACTCCATACAACCGAGCGAGTTCCTTCCAAAATTTGCCACAAAAAATCGAGTCCTACCGGTAGAGCTGAGAATACGGGTGGGCCCGGCCCTTAAGGGCCTGAGCCCTAAAGCCCGGTTTCCCATTTTGAATCTCATTTCTCAAGCTCGACCCTTATGCTTAAGGCTCAGGGTCAGGCCCACAAGCCCTTTTTCAAAAAATAAAAAAATTAAAATAAAATTAAACATTATAAATTAATTAAAATATTTTAAAATTAAAAAAATTAAAATCCTCATAATTTTTTAGAAATTAAATAACACACATTTAGAAGTCTAGTAATAAAATTTAAATTTTGATTAAAAAACACTTTATTTTTTTTATAAATACACAAACATAATAATTATAGAAAAATAAAAAATATCATAAATTTTATACTATACACTGATATTTATTAAATTATATTAAATTAATTTTAGAATAAATTAATTAATAATAATATAATGCGTGTAGGATTAGGTGAGCAGGTCATTAGTTTCAAATATGTGTTTCACTAAAGGAAATAATAATAATAATAATAATAATAATATAACAAGGCTTGAAGGGCTGCCCAGGCCCGAGCCCTATTTTACAAGACTTATTAAGGCCAAGCCCTCAAGCCCGATTACTTTAAAAAAAAATTATTTTCAAAGTCCGAACACTTATTTAAATAAGGCTTCCAAGCCTAGCCCTTCAGGCCCAACCCTTATTCCCGGCTCTACCTACCGGACACACTAGACTTAGGAAAGTCATGTAACTTAACATTATCCATAAAAACATTGGCCATATCTGCAGCAATAAAGATGCTTAAGAGCCATAAAGTAAGTAGCCTTAGAAAGACGATCAGCTACTGCTAGAATAGTGGTCTTAGAGTAAGACTTGGGAGCTTGCTAATAAAGTCCATCGAAAGCTCCAACCAAATAAGCTTAGGGATGGGCAAGGGTTGAAGAAGTCTCGGAGAAGCCACTAGCTCAGGCTTAAAGCATAGGCATGTGGTTCATTGGATTGGCGCACAAAGTTATGAACATCCTTCTCCATTCCCTTCTAATAAAAGAAAGAAGCTAGTCTTATATATGTTGAAGTCTTACCAAATTGCCCTCCTATGCTATTTGCATGAAAAAAACTCAAGTAATTCCTTCGTAACTCCACGTTCAACCCCAGCCACAAGCTTACCTTTTTGCTTCAAAAATTGATGCTCCCAAGTGTATATGGGATTAAAAGAGGGGTCACTTTCAAGAGTCTTAACTAGTTGCTATAAACGCTCATCAAGGAGCCAAGAATCATTTACTCTATCATAAAGAGGCAAGATAGGTGTTGAAAGGGCCAAAGAAACTCCATCAGAGCACCAACATAAAGCTAGTTGCTGCATCGTCACTATCCTTACAATACAAAAATCTCATAATCCAATCCCTACAACTTATGAAGCCACTTGCATTGTTCTTGACTCAAATCACACCATTCGAGGAGATGTTTCAAGGGCAAATGATCATTTTTTATGAAAAAATTACATCCCCAAAAGTAAGATGCCATTGTTTGACATGAAAACAATGGCCATAAGCTCATGCTTATATGGATTGTTGCCTCTTGAGTGGAGACAAAGCATTACTAGCAAAAGCCAAGGGATGACCATTTCAGGATAATATAGCTCCTAACACATCCCAAAGCTTCCAAGTTAGGTAGAGCAAGAACTAGAGGAGAGACCATAACGCACTTAAGAGAGTCAAAAGCAGCTTAGGCCTGTTCAAACCATACAAAGGTTCATTTTTCCTCAACAATTTAGTTAAGGGGCTGCTAATAGAACCATAGCTTTAAACAAAATGCTAACAGTAACAAGTAAGCCACAAAAACCCTCTCAACTCCTTAACAGTAGAAGGAACTGGCCAAGAAGCAATTGCCTCTAACTTCTTTGGGTCTACCTCAACTCCCTTGGCTATGATCAAATGGCCAAGATAATTAATCTAAGTTGTAGCCAAGGTACATTTAGAGAACTTAGCCACAAGGTAGTGCTTCCACAAGGCTAATAATGTTTCCCTTAAATGATCTAAATAGGCTACCCAACTAGTACAGTACACCAAAATGTCATCAAAAAATACCATAATGAATTTCCATAAGAAATGCTTGAATGCCAAATTCATAAGCCCTTAGAAGGGGGATGATACATTCATGAGACCAAAAGGCATAACCATAAACTCATAGTATTCATGAGTAAAAAATTGTTTTAGCAATATTTATCTTTCATCTGGATTTGATGATACCCAACCCTTAAATCTAGTTCAGAGAAGAATCAGGTCCCTATAAGTTCGTCTAAGAGTTCCTCTATAACTGGAATTGAAAACTTATTCTTAAAAGTGGCCTCATTTAGCTTTTTATAATCCACACAAAAATGACATGACATGACTTGCCTTTGAACTAAACACAAGGGCTGCAAAGGAGCTATTGCTCTCTCTAATAAGTCCATTATGGAGCATCTACTGAACTTGTTTCTCAATCTCAAACTTTTGTACAAGCCCATAACGATAAGGCCTACAACTGATAGGTTGATCCCCTTTAATGGGATTGAATGATCAAATGCACTAGAAGAAGGAAGTGTAGAGGGCTCAGTAAATACATCCATGAAAGAATCTAAGAGACATTGTAATTGCAACTGTTGATCAATAGAAAGAAAGTGGTAATTGTAGCTAAAAGTGGTGTGGCTCATGAATCAAGTAAAGATGATTGCCCGAAAACATATCTTGACTAGATAGAGAGGCTGGGGAAAAAAAATTGATCCTTATATCCATTGCCTTTCAACACGATCAGCTTGTCATTCTTCTTGAATTCAAATAATTGTTCATCCATATCCTTAGTGAAGTGACCCATAGTCTCCAACCGCTATGCTCCAAAAATCATGTCATATGCCCCAATTTTCATGACCATAAAATCAAAATAGAAGAAAGAATCTCCCATGATCCATTTCAAGTCTAAGCAATATAGGGGCATGACTGAAATCGAATGCCCTCCTCTTGAATTTTTAACTTTAGTCTTTTAGCCAACCTATCATCAATCACATTATGACTACTTCCCGTATCGATTGAGATAATTACCCTCTATCTCTTAAAATGATTGAGTAATCTTAAGGTAGACATGCCTTCTTTTCCCTCCATCACATTAATCATCCCAATGGGTTCCTCTAGCTCAACATTTCTTGAGCATCTACGAATTATTCACAGTCGCCTTCCACCAACAGAGCAAACACTTGTGATTCTTTACAATGATGCATGCTACTTTATTTGTCTCCGCACCAATAGCATAACCCTTGGCTATGTCCTTTGTCTAGCGCATGGATAATGGTCTTGAGGGCTTGGACAACACTACACTCATCATAATGGTTGAAAGGTTCATTTTGAGCCTATAGAGTAATGGGGTTGGAGTTGGGGTAGGTTTAGCACTTAGGTCGGGTTTATGACTTGAAGAAAAAGAATACCCAAGTTGCAACACTAAAGACAAAGCAACTTTGATAGGATTGAATCTGCAAGTCACCGTCAAGCTTAAGGCATAGTTGTGGATGGCACCAATTATCACCATCTAACCATCATGCTGGCTAAGGAAGTTGGTTGGAGACTCAAAACACTCTGCTGAACGTCGTTACATATCCTCCCAATGAAGCAATTCATAACGACTTCTTTAGATAAATTCACTTTGTGAGCAACTCATCAAACTTTTCCTCATAATGCTCAACAGAATCCTTCAATCTAAAGTTTTTTAACGACAATCATCAGATTCTCATCCTCGATGTCCCCAAATTTAGCTTCCATCTCAAAAATAAGCATCCCAAGAGAGCTCAAATAAGCGTCCCTACTTGATAAAGGTTAGGTGCCAATGCAAAGCACACTTTTCCAGATGTATGCTCAAGAGACGAATTCGATGTTCAACAAGGGTTCATCAACATCAAAAAACTAACGACAACGATAAGCCCATCATCTAAAATCAATACCATCAAACTTAGAAAACTCTACCCTGCTATGCTTGGTCAAAACAGAGCAAGAGGATGTTGGTGTTGGACACAATCCTTGGAAAGAGCCAAACTAAGGTGGACGGGTGAGTATACGAGGGTAAGGGGTTGCTGCTGAAGGGTCACTAGTCGTGAAAATTGTGGAGGAGGGGCAATGTAGGTGGTAGAGGAGAAGAGGTCATTGGTCGAGGTGGTGAGGGTGGGACAGATGGATTGTTGGAAGGCTCACCAACCTCAAATGTACGATAACGAACAAGCTGATTGATGAGCATAGAAAACTTCGCCGAAATGTCATTCAACTATGTAGAAAACTAAGTCATGGTCTGTTTCATTTCAAAAATCTCCTAGGTGTGTTTGTCCAAAACTTGTTGAGTGCTTTGGACCAAGGAAAATTGCATCTCCCGACGATGTTCGATATCACCAACGCCTTTAATAAAGGACTGCATCTCCAGCAAAACAATGGCCAAAGAGACAGCTCTTATACCTTAATGTTAGAGAGAAGAAGATAGAAGAAAAAAGGCTAATTCATTTCACAAAATTGGTCAGGGAGCAAGATACAGCATACATCCTATCCTAGACACGTGCCCCAATAGGTAATAGTACTAGTCTATCAATAACTACCCTAGAATTCAACAACCCATAAAAGACAACAATAATATGGCATAAAAGACAATAAAGCCCTCAAATAACAATAACGTGTAACACTTGCACATGGAGCAGAATCAAAAGTTAACTATCAGATCTGATGGTGTAGCAGTGAATAAAGAAAAATATCCAAAGCTGGTAGGAAAGCTGAATTTACTTATCTCACACGCGACCTGATATCTATTTTCTTGTGAGTGTGGTAAGTCAATTTGCCAACTGTCCACAAAAAGAACACATGGCTGCTCTCTATCGGATACTCAGATACCTAATGAAGACCCCAAGTTTGGGCTTATTCTTCGCAAAAGGTGATACTAGGGGCATAGAATTATTCACAGATGCAAATTGGGCTGGTTCAAAAATAGACAGATGATCAACTACAAGATATTGCTCATACATTTGGGGTTATCTGGTAACTTGAGAAGTAAGAAACGACCAGTGGTTTTGAGAAGCTCCACTGAGTTCGAACATAGAGCGCTTGCCCTAGGAACTTGTGAAAGAATGTGGATTATTAGACTTCTAAAAGAACTTAAAATTGAGACAATTGGACCAATCAAAGCATGGTGTGACAATATGTCAACAATCAAGATCGCAAACAATCCTATACATCATGATCGCACAAAGCACATGGAAATCGATTGACACTTCATCAAAGAAAAGTTGGACACAAAGTTGCTTGATTGTCATACATCCCTTTAGGAAAACAAATTGCAAATGTGATGACTAAAGCACCAACTCAAGAGAAATTTGAAGCATTTAGGAGCAAGCTGGGAATGATCAACATCTACTCACCAGCTTGAGGGGGAGTGTTAGATGTGGGCCTTCAGTCTTATTGGGCTTAGACCCACACGACACAAAACCAAGGGTTTTTTTCCTTTTTTAAGATAATAACGTTTTTTTTTCCTTTTATATTCTGTAATTAGTTTTATCTTTATTAGATTAGATACTATAGCAATGATTTGAGGGATCCGAATCAGATTATCCTCTCCTTCCCTCATCTATATATGTACCTCGATTCAATTCAGTAAAATACAAGGAATTATTCAGTAAATATTTACAATTAACATTGCATGGGCTTATTAGGCCCAAGCCCTATTACTTTCATTATTTATGTTTTTAGGGTTTAATCAATTCCTAGGACCTCAGTTGCAACACATCTAGGGTAAATCAGTTTATGATTTTAGAAGATTTGATTAGATTTAGTAGTTTTCTTTCTGATATTGTAATCTGACACAAAAGGTCCTTGTATACCTGTACATATCGATAAATGAAAGCAACTAATCATGGCATCACATTATTCAAAAAGAAAATTGAAAGGCATAACAGTAAAAAATGATTCTTATCAAAATATTGTCTAAAACAAGCTATCGATTAGCAAACTAACCTTCTCTCCTGCTTTGATTCCATGAACTTCAATCTTGGCTCCAGTTTCCTGATCCACATAGAAGAAAAAAAAAAGTAATCTTTTAATTCATATATATATATATATATATATCAATTCAATTATCTCAATTAGCAAAACATACAGCCTGCATACTGCAGATCCATGGAATTTTGGAAGAGAAAAATGCTTTTCATCTCAATATCAAGATACAACCGTATATATAAACACATTAGAGGAAAAAACAATAAAATCAAGTAAAGCCTAATAACTCTAGATAATGTATGCTAATCATTTCCAACTTGCTTATAAAATTCTCAAAAGCAAGCTTAAGTAGCCCCATAGTTAATACATCAGCAACTTGAAGATTGGTAGGCAAAGAATTCAGATGTATGATTCCCTTTTCCACTTTTTCTCTAATGAAATGTCTTTCCACCTCCACATTTTTATATCTTGCATGCTAAATAGGATTTAAGAACATACCAATAACAACCTTGTTATCATTGTAACTTGTGTCTCAATCAAGACTCATTTCAACCATAGCTCTTCCATTATCCCCTAACTCGTTTCTATAAGCTACATCCATATGCTTCTCCTTTAGCTTACTCATGTATCAACTAGCTACACTTATTGTGAAGGCTATATCAAGTCTTGTGTGAGAAAAATAAATTAGTTTCCCAACAAGTCTTTGATATCTTTGTTTATCAGTAGTCTCTTCCTTCTCATTTTCTCCTTCAGCATCACCATCAAAGTTATCTTCCTCTTCTTTTGACTCTTCCTTACCATTCTTCTTAGGCTTCATTTTCTTCTTTCTCAAGACCACAAGAAGAATTTCCTTGGATCTACAACCTAGCATGCCTATCTCTTTTAGAAGATCAAATATTCTTCCTCTTAGATACATAGATATCTTACTTTGACCTTGCAACTTCCACCCCAAGAAAGTATTTCAAGTTCCCAAAATTCTTGACTTCAAATTCTTTTCCAAGAGGGGTCTTTATTCTTGCTATTTCTTCAATATGATCTCTTCTTAGGGTTGTGTTGTCAACATACACAATAAGAATGAAGTTCTTATCTCCTTCAGCCTTAACATACATCATATGGCCTGGCAATCCCTATTTAGAGCCTTCTGTCTTAAGAACTTTCAAGAACCTACCAAACCATGCCCAAGGAAATTGTTTCAAGCTATTTAGGGATTTCTTCATCCCGCATACTTGGTTAGTTTTTTTTATCAAACCCCAGGTAGAGTCATGTAGACTTCTTTTAGTTCTCCATGAAGAAATGCATTCTTGATATCAAGTTGATAAAGTAGCTATTTTAGGTTGGCTTCCACGTATAATAGAACTCTAATGGCGTTCGGTTTTGCCACTAGTGCAAAAGTATCATTGCAATCAAGGCCATATGTCTAAGTAAACACTGGCTACCAAAAGCGCCTTTAACTTGCAAGAGTACCATTAGCGTTATATTTTGGGGTAATGACCTATTTGTAGCTAACAAGTTTCTTGCCTCTAGGCCTTTCAACAATCTCCAATGCTCCATTCATCTATAAAGCTTTCATTGCCTCCATAACTACATTTCTCCATTCTAGTATTTCCAATGCCTCTTAGATGTTGTTGGGAATGCTATCTTTATCCAAGTTGGTGATCAAGGCCCAATATCTAGGAGAGAAACCTTGAAGGACAAATGCTACTGTATTGGATACAAGGTACAAGATCAAGGTTGCTTCCTGAGAGCAATAGGTAGATCAAGATTAGTAGATTCATTTTCAAGTTCTAGAACATCTTACTCATTAGATAAAGTGGTCTTTGGGAGTTCAACAATAATCTGAGGTTTTAAGGCACCTAGCTTTAGGAATTACCTCTAGTGTTCATTCTCTTGGTGCTTCAAGTACCAGTGGCTCACCATTTTTTTATTTTATTTTCTTTCGAGTATAAAGAGACAACTCTCCTTGTTCCAATCTTCCTACATCTCTCCCTGTTTTCTTGTTTTCCTCAATTTCTGGCACAAGAGAATGGACTAATAATGGAAGATTGAGATCATGCACTGTGAACTAGGATCAAGCATAATTGAACAAGATTCAAGGAAGTTTGAAGTGATATCTGTCTTAGGTTCCTATTGGAATCCAAATGAGAAAATACAGTAAGGGAATAAAGTTAATTAATTTAGGTTGTAAGAATCTTACTACAATAAACTAACTAACAGTTTGGAGAATTTCCAAATATTATCAGAATATCAACTTGTCATTCATAATACTGATCGTACATGTTTATATTAGAAAACGCATAGTAGTTACAATAACTGCTATATGACACTTGCTAATCCTAATGAATTAACAGCACAACACTAAGATGATAGCACAACACTTAAAATACACTGCAAGTCTAAAATACTGACAACACAACATATTTAGTTAAATAAATAACTTCCTTATCCAATGAAGGTGTTTCAAGTCTAGGTTGCTTCTTCCTGCTGTACAATAACAGTGGATTGTTATCAGTTCATCACTCTCCCAAGTCTAAAATTCACCCAAACTTTCATCCTTAATTGAAGGCTTGGAATAAAATGGGGCATCCTCAAGGGGGGGAAAAAAAACTAACGTCAATACAAAGAGGCATTTAGATGGGGTATCCTCGGGGCAAAAAAAAAATAATAATAACAACATCAATACAAAGAGGCATTTAGAAACAGGATCATAACATTTGTATCCCTTTTGAGTAGGTTAGTAACCCAAGAAAAGACATTTAACTGCATAAGGTTCGAGTTTAGGACTTTGGTGAAGGTGAACATATGATGTACAGCCAAAAATATGCAATATCTCCTGATAAATGCTATACAACAATAACTAATACATACACAATATTCTCACAAGATCATTAATATTACCTTTAACACAAGCTAGAATGAATAATAAGAAAAAAGAACTGAAGACTATTACCTTTTCTAGACGCTTATGATTATCACCTTCAGGCCCATATATTAGGCCGATAAAATTGAATCTAGGATATTCTTTTACCTGTATAAATCATATTGCACATAGAATCATGAATAACTAGAGCATTAGAGCTTCACACTCAGATAACTTGGACATCATTTGACAAATTACAACAGATCGTTTTCACATTAAACTAGAGAAATGCATCCCAATTACATAGAAGTTTTGAAGTGTAGAAGGCACTTGATATTGGAAAAAATAAAAGTGTAGCATGTAGCTTAAGAAAAATTTAATAAAATATTTAAACTTACATGAATAGTAATAGGATTCAAATTTATATTAATATATTGATATTAATTGAAGCACCAAAGGAATGTGAAAGCATAAGTCAGAAGTGAGAGATGTCGTTTAATAGTATCTACTCTTTAGTGCAATAACTATATCCTACTACTAATATTGCAATTGTCAAGAAGGATGTCAAAGTTATAACACAGATGCATACAGTAAGCAAAGATCAAGTCAAGGGACAGTCCTAGCTCTTTTGAGATATTATTACCATGCAGATAATGACTAATTCTACAGAGTTTCTACTCTATTTAAGAGTCCAGCTCAATCACACATGCATATCATGAATACAAGAAGTTTCCAATATCATCTCAACTCTCAAGACTATAACGTGCAAAGACATGAACCTTCAAGAAAGCAACCACGGATTATTTATTGTAGATAAGAGAAAAATGAATGCGACACACATCCGTGGACTAAACTAGAAAAAATAAGAAATATCAAGTATTTCAAGAACAAAATTATTGTTTCTCATTGACCTTCATATTTCTAATGATAAAATTGTGCAGTTGATTTTCTTTCAGAAGAAAATTCTTTCCTCCACATTCTTTCTTAGAATCCAAATTTGAGAAAGGTGATGTTTTCAGTAAATTAATGCTCTTTCCAATACTTGTCACAGCCAAAATAGAACATGCATGGTTTAAAAAAGATTATAGGAACAAATTTATTATGACATACTTGTCACATTTCAATTGTTGTGACATTGCTCAAATCAAATGCACCAAGCCATCAATGTTTAAGTTAGGATCAAACAAATTAACAATCGATGTTAAAGTTAAGATCAAACCAATTAACAATCTCATAGGCATTGAAAACAATCTCATCCTAATACTTTTCTTGAAAATCATCACATCAACTGAGATCTCGTGAAACAATAAAATAAGGCCCAAGGAACATCAACCTTGCCCTGAATGATCATAGATGACATAAATTTAAAAATAAAGAGAAATACTCAAAATTTCTAGTTCATCAATATGACAGGCACGCAGACAATAAAGTAAGGTCAAACCAATTAACAATCTCATAGGCATTGAAAACAATCCTAATCTTTTTCTTGAAAATCATCACATCAACTGCGATCTCGTGAAACAATAAAATAAGGCCCAAGGAACCTCAACCTTACCCTGAATGATCACAGACGACATAAATTTTAAAATAAAGAGAAATACTCAAAATTTCTTGGTTCATCAATTAAAGGAGAAATAGAATTATACACCCATGACAGGCACGCAGACAATAAATTAAGATTTTGGAAATGCACCTTTATTTTCCATCAAAAGTACAAGGAATCAACAATGGCATTTAAATAGAAAGGAGATCCAACAGAATTTCTGGAATTGATACTTACAGGCAGTGGGACACTGGCTTCTTTCAACAATAGTTTAAAACCAAGTGGAGGCTTGTAACTTGGATCTAATCTTAGTATTTCACCTGGATATTATTTAGATCAAGATTATCCCAAATGTACAGCATATGAATTTAAGGAATGACCAAAAAAAAAAAAGGATCTTTTTGTCAATGGGTGTCTGCGCGTGCATGTGCAAAGAAAAGATACATTTCAAGGAACACAAACCTATTGCTGCCTGCTTTTCATGCTCAAGCATTTCTGACTTCTTAGATAGTTTATCCATATAAAAAAAAAATTACACATCAGTAACTTAAATAAGAAGTAAACAGGTAGCAACAAAAATTACATGCAGAAGAGAACAGTGTCAATGGTAACCTTGCTGTCAATTTCAGTATCAGCGTAGCTATGAACTAGATTTTTAGCTTCTAATGATGAGTCTTCAGTATCCTCAACCTCTGACTTTTGTGATTTTAGCTGATGTGTAATTTGATCCACTCGAATCTAGAAAACAGAGAAGCGGTATCAATTATTGACAGCGTAAGAAAGAACCCACGCTCAGCTGATTATTTACCCATTGGCTCCAACTTGTAAGGAAATTTTAGAAACTAGCAGACAAGTATTGTACATTCCACATTGAAGCACATTTAGCAATGAACCCATCCGTACCAATCTTAATCAAACCATTTTTTATAACAAAAGTAAATGATGATGAAAAACAAATGAAAGCGGTGGCACACAAACATGTGACTGTTTCACTCAAATCCATAAAGCAACAAAATGAAATCTAAACCTTTCAAAAATAATATATTAAAGAAACTAATAATGGAATATATGTAAGAAAACCGATATACCAAATGTAAAATTAGAACAGGAATGCCAATAAAAATTGATTTTAAGAATTCCTAAAAGGACCTTTAAAGCTAAAGTTCTTCCCCTTCTGACAGCTGCATCCTGTGTCAGATCAGGTCCCCATTTTGTTTTCCTATGCATTTGTTTAGAACTTTCTTCTTTGGTAGTTCCAGTGGCCCCATGATTCTTAGCCCCCTTGAAGATTGGAACTAACGAGCCTGATAATTTGTTTTTAGGGATAACAAATCCAGATTTGGCAGCAAGCATGGAAAGCTTTTGGCCACCAGTAGGTGCAGCAGATGAATTGACCCCAGACATCTTGATTACGTAAGGTTCAGCGGAAAGATGTTGAATCAACCTTTACATATATTCCCTCAACCAGCCACTCAGCACGAGTCAAACAAGCAAAACATCGGCAACAAGAGCAAAGTAAACCTGCAATGGCACCACATTAGTTGTCACTTAGACAAATGAAAAACAGGATCAATCCAAAAAGATGCATTGATTATGATAATATCCAGTAGTTCCACCATATGATGTGCAATGCAGTTCGCTAGACAGTAAAATCAAGAAAGACCATAAAAATACTGAAGTTGGAAATTGGATAATCAAGTGAGGTTTTGGTACATCACAGTTTAGTGTCATAAACTCATAATTGATGCATGTTTGGCAACAAGTTTATTTCAGAAGAATTAGTGCTTCCCCATGATCAACTTGATATAAATTCATTTCCCCACCATTTCTCTAAGACAAATAGTCATTATAGAAAAAATAATCAAATGTTCCAAAGGACATACTAACCGTAAAAACATACCACATAAAAGAAAGATAAAAATTATTTAAATCCAACTTATGACACAAAAAGTTGTACAAATCAACATCAGGGCTCATGCATGCGTCTTATATAGATGCTAGAAAAAAAATACTTACAGCAGAAAGAAGACAATCAAACTGTCACAGTATCACATCATACCAAAATTAATGGAAATGATAAATAGGATAAAAATGAATAACAAAGTACAGTCAAACACAAGATAAATCTCACCCATTTTTTGCTGGATACTTCTTAAAGTAGGCCTCGCATATACTTAAAAAGTAGTGAAAAATATCGATTATTTGACAGATTCTAGAGACCAAAAATACAAGGCAGCGTTCTTTTACATACATCTTTGAGATTCAAGAGAAAGTTCTAGGTCAAGATATTCAGGGAGCAAAGGATTGTGAGTTTAGTAATATGTAATAAAAACGGATAATGTTCAAAATCACCTTCAATTAACAGGAAGCCTCAATAATGCCTTTGGTGCATATTTGTTTTGCTTCCTAAGCCTACATTTCTCCTGCTCAAATTGAATTAAATATGAGCTTGTTACAAAATAAAATGTGCAATATTTCTCCTGCACAAATCACCTAACCACATCTGCTAGCGCCGTAGCAGCCAAATAACAAGCATGCTTTAGTATCCTACTCGTATTCGCTCAGATCATTTCCATACCAGAATAAACCGATGATGCCTTCAAATAGATTCATCGTCGTGCCCTGCGACGCAGTATTTGAAAGATGTATATAACGATCTTGAGAGAAGCAGCCTGGAATCGGCTTCAACCAGCAGCTTCTCCAGAATCCGGCGAGTTTGAGAACTCTTCAACAGTGAAAGATTGAAGGCGGCAACAAGAACCGAAAGCAGAGCTACAGTGACTGAAGTTGATTGAAGACAAGACAAGGCTCCGTTGACTGAAATCGATGGAGGTTAATGGAGGTTGAAGGAGAGCGAAGAAGGTGAAGGTGAGAAGAGCGACTGCGCGAACGTGCAGTGCAAAGAAAAAAGTGGAGAACTGGGGCGATGCGAATGAATTGAATTATCCTTGGAGAAACTGGTGACTCCTCAAAAAATTTAAAAAATATCAGGATTTTTGGATAGAATTAAAACAAAATATATAACTGAAAGTGAAAAGATTCAAAAGTTCCCAGCAAAAGAAAGAAAAAAATAAGACAAGCGATATTAATAAATTAATAAATAAAATTAAAAAATTAATAATTAATAATTTTGCATTTAGAATAAAATGATTGAATTAATATGATAATTGATAGGTCATGTAATTTATAATTAATATTGGTAAATTAATAAGTAAAAGTTAGATAATTAACAATTAATATTAATATGATTATTAACAGGTAAAGTCATGTAATTTACGACTGATATTGATAAATTAACAAGTAAAATAAGAAAATTAACAATTAATGATAATATTTTGTGATCAAATTGAGTAAACAAATCTTATAAAGGATTCACAATTTAAGTCAATTAGTATTAATAAGTCATGTTGACAAATTAATAAATAAAGTTATGAAATTAATAAGTGACATTCTTAATATTATGAGATCACGTAATTAACTAGTTAACTATTTAACAAGTATTGTAACAAAATTAACAAGTATAAGTAAGCAATTAACAAATAAAGTTAGGTAGTAAACAAGTACTTGTTAATTTTGTAGAAGGGCATTTTAGTCTTTTTAGTCATCAATTTTATTTCAATTTAATCCAGCAATAATGAAAAGAATTTTTCATTTTTGTAGACCAATTGGAAAATATTTATCTTCTCTGGTCCTTAGTTGAAATTCTCCCCATTATTTAAGGGTCACTAAGGCAAATTAATATCAATTAAGGACCAAAAAATTATTAAAATCTCACTACAAAATCAAGGGATTGATCTAAAAATAATTTTTATAGAAAAAAACTATAATACCTTTTCTATTTTTTTTATTTTTTAAAATTTGTTAATTAGCAAATAATTTCTTGTTAAATGCTAATGCATATTTGTTAATTAACGAACTGCTACTTGTTGAAACATAAGACACTTATTCATTTCCACAATCATATTCTTTCAAATTTTTAAACTTGTTATTTAACAAATGACTGCTTGTTAAGTAAAAAAGAAAGATGGGGGTATTATAATCTTTTCTTATCTAGAATTATTTTTAAATCAATTCCTTAGTCATGTAGTGATATTTTAAAATCTATTAATTTTTGATTGATATTAAATATCCTCGATGGTCTTTGAATTATATTTTCCCATAATTTTTTAGTCCAAATTGCTTGATAACCAATTTAGATCATCCTAAAAAAAATTATTTTGAATTCATAAATTATAATAAATAATTTCATTTTTCATCTAGATCAGCTCCTATTTAACTCAATGTAAAAACGATTTTCCACCTTAGTTATGATATAACCAATTTAAAAAGTTAAATTTTTTTACAAATATTTATAAATATTTTCACCAATTATATAATGATCAAAAATATAATGTTAAATGTGTTTTTTGCACTAGTGTAAAGGTCATATAGTATTAATTACAATTGAATTCTAATAAAATTTATTATTTAGAATTTTAAAGTTCTTGTTTTCTTCTTGTATCTTAGGTGGCACTAACAAAGCTTACAACTTATTATTGGATGTCTTTCTCAAGCATAAAAAATTATAAATAAAAGCCATATCACTAATGATTATCTAGTTAACTTTTTTTAGAAAAAAGAAAAAAACATAAATCCCCCTCCAATAACTCATGAGTAGTATGGCAAATTGGTCATTCTATCTAAAAAGTTGTGGAATAAGCTACAGTATAAGTGCTAAGACTTATTGTGAAGAAACATATAAATTACAATTAAGCATAGACCTAAAAACTCAATTGACCATTATACCCTCATTAGAAAAGAAATTAAGAGAGAATGACAGTTAAGTCTCAAGAGGACTAATTAATTATGTTAAATCCTAACCAATTTTAGAATGTCAATGAAGTATCTTAGTCATTTAATAGTAATAAGTCTAACATATCCAAAAATTGATAAGTTTAACTCATAATTTTGTAACTTTGTTGTAATGCATTTACAACAAAGTTGAAGAAATTTTAGCAAAGTTAAAAAATAAATAATAAAAAATGGAGAAATAGAGGATCTATTTATTTTATTAATAAATAGGCGATAGGTAAAGAATAAATAATAGAGTTAAATTTTTTAATATTAAATTTGATCATTTGTGTTTTATGTTAAAATCTGAAAAATAAGTTGTAAATTCATTACAATGAAATTGTAAAATTGGAAACCCAACTTTCAAATCCCTAGAGCTATTAGACTTAATACTTTTTAATATTAAAGATGAACATTTGCATTTTCTATTAAAATTAGGAAAACAAGTTGCAAATGCATTATAATAAAATTACAAAATAGTGAGCTGAACTTGCAAATTCTTGGAACGATTAAACTTAATATTTCTCAATATTAAATATGAACATTGATACTCCTTGTTAAAATTTAAAAAACAAGTTGCCAATGCATTATAATGAACAATTTGCCTTCACCATCTACGTGATTTCGTTCAACACTCATAATCAATGACCAGTAATATATGTCACAAGGAGGAAGATTTGTTCAATAATGCATGCAACAGCACCCTTATTAGAGGTCAACAGTTATTGAAAGTGATGTATCCAATAGTTTGCAGAGGTAGAACTACAAACAAAAAAGTTAGGAGGTTTTGGATGAATAGTGTGAGTAGTTTAAAGGGAGCAGAATGTAGAAATGGGAAGAAGAATTATGCAAAGGGAGTTATGGTGACTTGAGGAATGTAAGGAAGAGGAGTTTTAGAATTCAGCAAGACATGGCATAAAAGAAGGTGGCTTTATGTTTTTAATATTATATTATTGGTTTTAAAACTTTTCTAATATACCAAACAACTCTAAGGGTTATTTAGTTTTCCTTAAGGTATTATTTGTGTTAAATATGAAACATTGCCTGCTAAAGTGTCTAAGTAGGCCATAAAGTCACATGGGTTAAGTAATTGAAGAGTCAGGCCCAATCAACAATCTAAATAAAAGGACCAACCTCGATCTCAGTAGAAAATCTCGGCCAGATAAGCACGTCGAAATCCTACCTGTTGCAAACCCACCCCTTAGGCCGTTGGTACATAAAGTCACAATCCTAAACGATCCCGGATCACGCGGGAACATAATTGTTATGCCCAAGTATCTCGAAGGAACGAGCTAGTTGCTCAAAAATGGAATGCAGTGATAAAAGACCATGCCATGAATTTCGCAGATCATGAGTAAGGAATCCTTGATTATTTGCAAGAACGTTCCATATTCCAAGGGAGAGACTACCATTACTCTATCATTATAAATAGAGCACCAAATCGTAGAAAGGACACATGAACATCACTCTAAAGACTTGCACTTTGCACCATAGTTCTTACATTTATCAATTAGTTTTTATTTTCATTTTAAACTTGTAATCATTTACACTTTATAGCCTTTTAGTATTAATTAAACACTTGTTATATCAATTCTTGCATATCTTTTATATCCGAATAAACTGTGGTAAGAGAGCCCAAGAACCCTTTGTCATCAATTGAGACTCAACGTCTTTGGCGTGCTTGGTAATTTGTTATTCCTGACGAACAATTTTTAGCACAACTGGTGGGACCTATGTAACAACATGTCGAGAATAAGAAAGGACATAAAGATTGATGAGATAGGTGTTAGTTCTCATAAACTAAAAGAAAACTCTACTCTTGTGGGGTTAGAACCATTAATACCTAAAGCTGAGACGACTAGACATTGTGAGCACATAGTACCAATGTCAACAAATAGCAGCAGCACGAGCCCTAAGCCAATACCAAAAAGTGAACATGTAAATCTGCTAATTATATCCAATGGTCCAGTAGCAGAAGTGCTGTAAGAAATTCAAGACCACATAGATAGACAATTGGAGGAAAATCAGAAGTTCTTTGCTATCTCCTTAAAAAATTCAAAAATAGGGAAAAGGAAAGACAACAACTCATGATGCAGGCTTTGTACAACGAAATGAGGAATTCAACAGCATCATTAAGAGGGACACCTCTAGAAGCAAGCTCAAACTCAGGGCAGCATACAGGACAACAAGTAGGAGTTAATATAAACGCAGGCCCTTGGGGCCACACGACTATAAGGGACCATCCTAATCCCCACATTTTTACTAATATTAACCCCTCACTTATATTATTTACAGGAGCCTAGCATGAGTGACTTAAGGGGCATGAGAATAGTCCCAGAATATCAGAACAAATCGCTGAATTGATTGGTGAATATGGAAGCTTTGAGGGACACCATTCAGGACATATATGGACTGGGACTGAGGCTAATTGGCTGTCTTACTTTCTCAAAGCCTTACGCTAAATACATAAATAGATATAACCTATACCCTTGGGGCTACAAAATTCCTAATTTTACCTCGTTCTCAGGAGATGGTATGTAAAACTCTGTAAGCTCACCCAATGAGCTAGGGAAGTAGCAGATCAGTATTTGGTGAGGTTCTAAAAGCTGAGGAGCAGGTGACATGTGCCGCTTCTAGAAGTTGAGTTCATCAAACTGGCTCGAGCAAGTCTTTGTATAGAGCTAAGAAAAAAGTTCCAAGGGATGGAATTTAAGGACTTATATGAGTTCACAGCCAAGGTCTGTGGGTATGAGGAGTTGTTGAGGGAAGAAAACCATCATTGACAAACCACAGCAGGCACATACTTTGGTGACCTTAACGTAGCAGTTGCAAAATTAAAAAATACAGGCAACTACACATGCCTAACCTTGATAAGGAAGGCTAGGGAGACCCTTAAAAGGCCTAACTCAATATAGTATACCTTCGACAGTTTTAAAATAAAGGAAATCTTTGATTTCTTGCTCAAGGAGAAGTTCATCTCACTACCCAAAACCACAAGATCCCTTCCAAAGAAGAACAGAAAGGGAAAAAATATTACAAATACTATCACTCCTAGAGTTATAATACTAAGTCCTGTTGGGGCTTTAAGAATGTCATCTAAGATAG